GCTGCCCTGTGGAAAGCTGTATGATTAATAGTGTTAGACCTGTTGTCCTGGCCGGGTTCCTACCTGGGCATTAGTATTTTGTCTGCCAAAAATTGCTTGAGCAGTTTTGGTTGGCGATGATGTGCTTCTCTATGTCAGTGTAAAAACTACTGAGTGATATCACCGTCCTGGGAACCTCCCTTATGGAAAGATTTTGTAGAATTGCATTAAAGCTGGTCCTCTTTGTTGCAGTTTTCTACTAAATTCTGCACACCGTCGGTGTAAAATTTTACAAGGGCATTAAAAATGATAATTTAGAAATAATTCTTTGAGATATTACTGTCTTTTCAATAGCCTCTTTTGGCTTCTTCCTTAATAAATTGTGATGCTTTTCTATAACTCATTATGTGATATAAATATGGTTGTGAAGTAGAAGGAACTGGCTTCAAAATAGCTTATGTCTGAACTGCAAAAGTCATCCACTTGATTCTTGGAGAGCTCAACCGTATGAATCTCATACAGACGATGGCCAGAAAATTATTTTCTGTACGTGGCTGGCTGGCTGAATTCCTATTGAAAAGTTACTTTTAACATTTCTGAGCACTGTTAATGGTCTGCTACGATGCTTAGAGCAAACAGTCTTAAAAATGCGTTAACTTTTTAAACTTACCATATTTTCCACAGACTGTTAGAAATGAAAGTCAATATAAATAAATGTAGCCCACAGACTATCAGAAATTAAAATAAATAGTTGGCATTTCAGCAAAAGAGTGGATTACATAGGTGTGCAGGCAATAGCAGGGGGAACCTGTGCCTGAGACCCCCCGTCCTGCTCCTCTTATATCTGGTGCTAATTTTGTGCAGTTTATGTAAAGTGTGAGTTTTCTGAAGGCTTATTTTCAAGTTCTAATCTTTTTTAAATGGTGCTGGTTTTCTGAGGGAAGAATTACAGACCTGAAAATACAATGTGTTTTTTGCATTTGTATATGTGTATACAAACGCACGTATTTGTTACTGAGGTATAGATGGGCATAGTCTTAAATGTGATTCAGACCTATAGATTTAAAGACTGTATAAACTTAATGCATCAAAATGTAAGAAAATAGCAGCAGTGGAAAGGGTACAAGCCTTTTGATTGTAATTTTCTCAATCTGTGTCTCTAGGGCAACTTGTTGGCAGCCAGGAGATGGAGAGGCCCCATCACACTCTGTCAATGAAGACTGCCTATATCTGAATGTCTTTGTTCCTGCCACCACTGTAAGTAGGAGATGAGTTGAATTATTTTGTAGCTGAGCACTGTGTCTTTTCAAAGCACTTTTAATTGGCATGAATGATTGTTTTTCATGTGGTCTTCACAAAGCCCTGCAAGGTTAAATTAGGCACTCTGTTGTTTGTACTGGTGCAAGAGTATTCCCTGTAGGCTCCCAGGGAGCTGTGTTTGGGTAAGTAGGAGGGTAGAAAATTAAAAAGCTAGAAATAAAAGAGGGACAAAGAGGGAAACAAAGCACAAGAACAAAATGACAGCAAAGGAGGAGAAATTAAAGACTGCGATAGCAATGTCCCTGAAATGAGACTGTCCAGGAGACGATAACGCAATACAACATCAACACTACCAGTCAAGCAGCAGCAGATGGGATTATTCACCCTCATCTTTACTGTTCCCCTGTTGACATCTGTGGGAGCTGTTGAAGAATGAGGGTAGCAAGCAATGCTAGATTTGTGCCCAGCCCACAGAGCATACTAATAGATATTTTAAAGATGATGGGGCCAGTGGTACAATCTGAGAAATTGTCATTTGAAAGCTCTTGAATTTCTCATTCTAAACAGATATAAAATAAAGCTTCAAGTTAGAGCCAAGTTTAGATGATTGGCCAAACCCCTGGCAGCTGGGGATAAAGGTGCTGAATAACATGTGAATCCCATCAAAGAGTGGGCCCAGAGCACAGGAACAGAGTTTTTCTTTCCACAGTACTGGTAATTTTCAGAAGGTGACAGTAGGTATAATAGAAATTTATGAGTCTGTCATACTGCAAAGAGCTGGTCTAGCTATGTGACAGCAGCACACAGAGTCCCTTGAAGGTTCTTTTAATCAGAAAGACCAGCAATTTTCTCCCTGCAGCACCAGACCGTCATCTTGCCTTGAGTGCAGTTATCACTTATTGAAAACATCAGGTCACTGTCCCAGGCAGTTTGCCAGATCTGCTTAAGTGCTGCTTTCAAGCAACTTATTTGAAAGCACTGTATTTTCTACTGTCTGATAGACTAAATGGGCTTGTCTTTTCTCCTTAGTGGTACTGAGAACTGAATCCCTCTTGTCTTGTGTAGAGGTGTAAGGTAGAAGTAGGTCCAGTCAAGTCAATCAGTTTCACATGCGCAAGTCTAGCCCAAGAGAGAACCAAAACTTCTGTTTTTGCAGAAGTAGCTGGGAGCAGAAGGCATGGCATTTTCCTGTTGCTTTTTGTGGTGAGCTCTATTTTTTACTCACACAGAAAGCCATAGTTATATGTTTTCAGCCCATGGAAAGTTAAATTAACTAGTAAATACTGAATATAAAACCTCCTGGAGAGCAGCGAATGCAGAGGTCGTTCAGCAGCATTTTGAGCCTGATCAAGAGCACGGTGCGGGGACTGCTGCCTGCCACCAAAGGACTCCTTAACTGTCAAGCAGTGAAGAAGGTGAATGACATCACCTCATTTTGCTTCCAAAGCTATGTGTACCGCATAACCCTCCAAATAAAACTGGCACTTCTGAGAGACTTTTTTCCACCTATAACCATCGCTACCTGTCACACTAGCAAAGTAAAGCTGTGCTTCAGCTTGATTTGCAAAGGGCTCAAATGTAAGATCAAGAGTTGAAACTCTTCACTAAATAAGAATAGAAAGTGCACCCTCTCTCCTCTTGTCCCATCCCCTGCATGTGTTATTCTCATCCTCATTGCATCATCCCTGTTGCACTCAATTCTTTACAGAGCAATATTGTACAGTAGTAAAAGCACTTGGTGTTGCCTGGCTCGGTAGAGTTTAAATCTATCCCTGCCAAGTAGCTCATTAAATGTTTTACAGGAGGAAGGAGAAGATGATTCTGAATATTATAAAGCCTTTCAGACTTCCAGCTGACTTGCAGGTTCCTGCAAGGAACCCCTTGAGGGTTTGCACATGGGACCTAAGCCCCTACAGGTGTGAGACCTGGGGAGCCCAGTGGCTCTATTGTAGAAGACACCCCTGTGCTAGCGAAGCCAGCAGGAGCCATCTGACCATGCCCCAGCTGGAAGTCTTTGCACAGATTTTACACCTCAAAGTGCGACTGTCTGTGTTTTGTTGCTAAGTGTGGAGCAAAATGCTGCAATGGGCAGTAGCTATGTGGCAGACATGGCCTGTCTATGAGGAATGTGCTGGCCCCACTCTGCCCAGCATTGCCCCACGTGTGCCCCACTGCAGCTTGGCACTGACGCTGGCGGTGCTGCATCTAAGCCTGGTACCAAGTGGTGGGGGGTGAAGAGACTGACTCCAGCAGGCTTTAGTTAGAGGTCCTGTGTTTCTTCTGCCTTGACAGCTCTTTTGCCTCACAGATTTAATTGCAGTGTTTCATTGAATTTGATTGAGAACAAGGCTTAGGGGAAATTCACTTATATTCAAAATAAATTATCCAGCAGCTAATGTATAGTAAAAAATCAATTGGCGACCAAATATATATATATAGATAGGTGATATTAAACATCTCATATTGTGAGGCACAGTTCAATTATAGCATGAAAATAATTGTGCGAGGCTGTTAAAACAGCTAATAAGAAATGGGAAGGCAATTATGTTAAATAGCCTTCATCTCCAATGCCCAAATCCATGAGCTCTGAGATTGAAATGCCTTGGGATTAAAACCCTAATTATTTTTCATGATAGTTTACCTTTACATAGGAGAGAGATCTGTATTTGCTTGATGCAGATTAGAAATGGGAAGGCTACATCCAGACACTTGGCATTAGGCGCAGCCCCAGTGCTAAATCTTCCCCCAAATTGCTCCGTATCTGTTGCAACAGGCTTTGTTTTGCTGTTTTAAACTTTTATTTCCCATCTTTTCCTTTCTTAAGCATTTCATCACTTAGACCGTTGTGTAAAGTCGCTCCACATAATGTAATATACAACTTACAGGACAGATGGAGGTCTTGCTGGATAGGTAGGAGATGCCTAGTTAGAACATCAGGCTTCACCATGCTGAGCTGACAGGACGACGCAGGCTCAGCATCATGTTTAACATCATTTTAGCTGACATGGGTTGATGTGGTTGTATTTTAGAATGAATTTCCATGTCAACACAGATTCATTCTTTGTTCCATCCCCCCATGTCTCTCTGCTGCATGCAGTGCAGAAATGGGAACCGGGGACAAGACACTGTGAATTGGGCAATTTCTATTCAGGAGCAGAAGTTCCTGAGAGCGAGCAGCATGTTTCAGTGCTTGTAATTTCTGGGGTTTTCTTGGTAACATTGTGCTTACAAGAAGCCTCTGAAGTGATTCTCAGATAGATAAGTGAGGAGCACACACAATTAAGGGCAACTGAGGGGACTTTGCCTCCTATCCTGTCATTTTGCAGGAGGCTGCAACCATCACTTCCCTGCCGCTTCTCCTGTAGAGACAGTTTCTGCTGGAGACATCCTTTGCCAGAGCGGATGGGACTGTTGTGTTTAGCTAAGCTCCATCCAGAAAATAACGGCAACAGAGCCCAATACCCTCTAGCTGCAGGGAAAAACAAACCTCAGACGTACTGTGATGCTGCTGCAGGGGACACCAGCCCTTCTTTGAAAAACACCACCATCTGCCAAAGCAGAAAGCGGGATGAATTGGTGTGTGTGACCTGCTGATCAGCAGAGGAGAGAGGAGCCTCCTTCAGGAGAGTCCCGAAGTGGGCAATAGGACATGAAAGTGCTGAATGGAAAATCGAGATTACACTCTGAAAAAACCTTTCTAGTATTTGGAGCAGGTTATTCTGCTTTTTGCAGCAGGAAAGGAGAAAAAAAAAAAAAAAGGGGAAAAAGCCAAAAGAAAACCCCTTCATATGTTTCACTGGTATTTCTTCTAAGTGTTATCTTGACAGAGCTGTAATCTGCTGGTAAATGCTGAGGTATCCTGGGTAGTTCTGCTTTTGTGCTTGTCACGCAGCGGCAGCCCTGCTGTGTGTGCAGAGAGAGTCCACCCAGATGTGGTGGTCCTTTGAGAAAAAGCCTCCATTTCTGCACAAAATTGGGTAGCTCTGCAAGGAGTGGTAATATGGGCACCAGCTTCTTCCCATCCTGAGAGTCCTGCTGTATTCTCTGGGGCAGACCCCCTCTGTGCTTCATGGGAGGTGAGTCTCTCCCATGCTGAGATAAAGTTCTCTCTGCAGGACCCCTCTATATAACTAGTAGAGGAAAACCTCCATGTGGGGTGAAGAGGCAAGGAAGAACTCTTGTCAAATGAGATTTTTTAGGCTAGCCAGTATTTAAACACTGAAGACTGGAGAGTAGGAAGTAGCTCTGCACAGCTATTGAGTTAGTCCTACTGAAGATGAAACAACCCAAGAGGCCTTTTTCTTCTCCTGTTTCCCACTTGTTTCAGCTTTTCCCACTTTTTTCAGCTTTTCCCACGGGTTTGTGTAAAGCGGACATGTTACACCAAAAGCAAGCCCACCACATGCTCAATGGCCAAGTCAGTAGGAGGGTTCTGCCTTGAGCTAACCTGGTAGAGTTGTTGGCTGGTGGAACACAGTGGTGCCATTAAATCTTCTTTATACTGGAAATAGTGTCCTCTTTAATGGTATATAGGTCATTATGGATAATTCAGCCCTAGAATTCTAGACAAATGGCCAGGTAGCCCCTCATTATGGCCACTGTTAAAGAGCTATGAATGGCTTAGATGATGTTAGTGGGTAAGATGCTTGTGTTCTCATCAGTGACCTGCAAAAGCAGTTGGCTACAGAAACATTAACCTGGTTGTCACGGCAGGTCAAAAATATGTCAGCGCTGCTGTTCTTCCACAACGGAGGGAGTTACAATGCTGAGGCGGAAAAGACAGCCATAGATGGATCATACCTAGCTGCCGTCAGTAACGTCATTGTTGTGACAGCGAACTACCGGGTCGGTGTTTTTGGCTTCCTTAGTACTGGTAAGTCATGGATTTCTAGAACAAACACAACTATAGACAAAATTGCATTCTGTAACACCTGTGTTTCTAATTTTTTTTTTTTTAAAGTAAGTTATTTTTAAAGTTGAGGAACCTGTATCTTTCACTGTTTTTGGGGGAGAAATGGCCAAGAAGTGATGGGCACTTGATCTGAAGAGAAAGGAGAGAGACTGGAGGCAAAGGGACAAGAACAAACAAGGATAAGATCAAACAAAAGCCAAGCATCTATATCAAAGCACTGGCTGGACTTCTGTTTGCAGATGAAACTGTGGATATTGGGTTTTGCAGACGCACATGAAAATAGGTTAGGCATTAAAATTCCTGCTAATGTCAGTGGCCTATCATTGTGGATATGGTTTGCAATGTCTCCAACTTCCAGCTATTCCATCTGTGGAATTTTGTTAATGCTTGATTGTGCCCATGTCAGCATGCCGAAGAGGCAGAGAGGGATAACTGCAGGTTAATGGTAAGAAGGACATGAGTGTATGGAAAGTACAGCACAAAGACAGTTGGTTGGTCCCTCAGTAATTCAACCTGATGTCTCCTCTGAAGGACTTGGCATGTTTAATTTGAATTCTCTTAGCCCCTTTTACTGTCCTGGATGTGACTGCACGTTCGCGTGTTCTGTGCTTGCATCCTTTCCCCCTATGCTAGTGTAAAGAATGCTTTTGCTCTCCTATTGCCTCCTAATACCAATTGCGATTAAAAATTATATAAATTCCCGTTACATACAGGATTTTATCTTGTGCAAAGAGGCACCTACACATGGAAAAGCACATTCACATCTCCCTAAACCTTTGGTTTTGGGATTTTTTTTTTTCATTTTGTCATTTATTAGATTTGCCTGTTTAAGCAACTAAGGAACACTTTTCTTTCTACCATCTCTCAATTCTGTCTGTGGTTGGGGAATTTAAGGTAGAGAGCCATGGAGAGAAAATGCAACAATTGCAAGTGGAGCTCTGGCTCCATCGGTCTCGTGGCAATCCTTGGTCTCTCAAGTGGATATTTTAGTACCTTTATAACCTTTAGGAGGTTATATTTGCCATGTTTGCAAATACAGGACCTACATACTTTGCCTCATGATTCTTTTGAGTATTTACTGCTAGTGATGCTGGGTGGATTTTGCCTAGTCTGGGGCTATAGCTGCAACCATGGGTTATTGTTTCCTTTCGCTGTTGTGCAATTTTGTTCAAAGCTCACTCCCAGCAAAGACTGTTTTTCATTCAGTAACTAGAGACCTGGCACTACAAACTCCTTACTCATTTAGATATGAGGTTGGTAACAGGTGTATCTGGGGAAAGAATCATTGTTTTCACCAGTGCAAACCAGATGCTTATGAAAGTGATACCATGGCTTCACTTTAGCTAGAGCCTAATGCAGCGTGGATACTTGCTGTGCAAGCTTCCATTACGCAGCCCTGCCCACGCGTTACCCATTAACCTCCTTCAGCCCTGTGAATCTCACCCAGCTTTCTTCCTAAGTGGAAACTGGTAGCTAGGCTGAATATTGTATAGCAGTATTTATATGATGGCCCATAATTTAGGGATCAGAAAAATTCTCCAGGCTCTTTTTCATGGGCATCTGCACGCATGTCCCAAAAAGTCAGGTCATGAGCTGAATGTACCTGAATTTGCATTGGTACAAACCTTCAAATAGAGGTGATTCATTACCAGTAGGGAGTATTCGGAGGCCCTTTCCTTCTCTGTGCTGCAGCCAGGGACAAGTGCAGTCTTTCCTGGCCTCTTCCCCTGGGGGAAACCCTTGGTGTGCATTTGGGAAAATCCTGTTGCTCCAGAGGTAACTGGAGCAAGTAGGAAAAGTTCTTTGCAAGAGTCACTGGAGCAGGCTAAGCACCACATTCATAGGAATCCCTTAAAATTCCTTCGGTGCCACACTCCTGTCTCCCTTATATCCCCTTTAGTCCATGTGGGGGTGATGAGCTGTCTTTATATCTGCACCGGGCTCCCTGTCAGCATGGGTTTTCAGTCATACCCATTCTGGTGAGCAATGCTCCCACTGCAAGATTTATTCTTTGCTCCACCACAGGTTGGTAGAGTACCTCTGGCTCCTTCTGTACGTGACCAGTAGCCACTGGGGATTTTCAGTGAAGGTTATCAAGCTGGGTCAAACACTATAAAGTTTTTTCTCAAGATTCAAATGATATTCCAGTGATGTTTCCGTTCTTACTGAAAGACTTGGAGAAATCCTGGTCCTTTGGAAGTTTTGCCATAAGTTTCAAATGGGGCAGGATCTCACCCTTAGGACTGTGGGGACATTAGCAGCAGGACTGTTAGAAGGCCCTGAAGTTACAAACAAAAGTGAGCAACACCGATTTCGTTGTCCAACTAAATGCTCAACCCTCTCATGTTGACTTGTTATAAATTGCAAAACTAGAAATGAAGATGTTAAATGGAGATTTTTGGGGAGGAAGAGTAGTGAAAACAACAGAGTTTCTTTTTTTTTTGGGTGGGGGGGTTTGTTAGTTATTTTGCTGTTGTTTTGGTCTTTCATTGGCAGGACTTTTGCAAGCAGAAAGAGCTCTTATTCTTCTAAGTATATAGGATGTTTAATTTAATTTGCTATTACCCATTAATGTTGTGAAAAGTGATGCACATTCTTACTAGTGCTTTTACCTCTCACTTTGCACCCAGAAAAGTTAAGGTGAATTGCTAGTGATACAGATGGCAAGAGTATGGAGAAGACAGTCACGTCTTTAGGCCTGGTTCTTTTAAGAGTCCATGAAGTCATATAAAACAGGATGACTTTATGCTTAAATTTAACACTATTGTTGTTCTCCAGTTTGGTAATAATAGAAATGCATATGTTTGTCATTGTTTGCTTCCTTCTGGTCACCATTTTCTTTTCATTCTCCTGTGGTCCCCAGGAATGTGATCTTTTCCTGCAAAAAAAACGCTTATGAGATTTTTATCCAGGCCTATCACTCAAGCAGTGGAAAAGATTCCTGGCAGACGTGTTTCGTTTGGTCTAACTACTGTGAATGTCTGTGCATGCATCTGTTCGCCAGTGTGGTGCATTTCACAGCCTGGCTGAGGTTTTTGCCAGGGCAGAAGGAACTGGTTATATTTCCTTCCTCGGTCTTGTTGTTTAGTATACCGGTAATGAGGCACATTGTGTGGCTAAAACATTTACATGGATTTCACTTCCTCTGGGGAGGTCTCATGAGGCATGCAGCAAGCCCTTGAAATGAGGTTTCCTTTTTAACAGTGTAGAGTGGGTTTATTGCTGGACTGAGAACCCTGGGAACTTGTCATGGTGTGCAGAAAAAAACTAAAAATCCCCTAAAAACTAAAACAGGGAAAGTTTTTTCCTCCATTGCTTCACTGGCTTGGCCTGATCATCTGAAACTATGGGTGTAGATGGAAGGTTGTAGTTTCTGGGGCCATTTTGTTCTTGGCTGTCCCACTCAAAGGGCACTCATGGTGATGGCTATTATGATGTGGGTATCTGTAACATCTGCAAGGCTATCAATCGTCTGGTCTCCTCTATATTCTATTCTGCTGCTTAAATAGGTCTCTATGATACCTCAGTAATTCATTAAGATCATCAAGTCCAACCGTCAACCCAACACCACCATGCCCACTAAATCATGTCCTGAAGTGCCACATCTACACATTTTTTAAACACCTCCAGTGATGATGACTCCATCAGTAGATGGAGTAGACAGTAGAATAGAAGTAGACAGTGAATAATAATTTTCTATTCCTTTCTTAGGGACTGTGTAGGAATTACTTATTTCTGCTTTTGTTGATATAAAATTAAGCTTGCCTAAGGGTTTGCATAATTAGATGCTTTCAGCATTAGTTTCCTATTAATCAAAGTATCAGGTTACCACTGATTAGCATTGAAAAGAAAGCAGTCTTTTCAGTGGTGATAGCTACGCATGGAGAGTACATGATTAATTATTTTTCTCTTGTTTTCATGGGAACAAATATTTGAATACATGTAATTCAGATCTCAATCAGTTAGGCACAGGTCAATCTCAAAGGATGTATATTGAGATATTATAGATTATAAAATAGTATTTGTATGTGTGTAAAGAAATGAAAGATGATGTGACTTATAAATGATTGGTTAGGCAGGTAAGTGTAGAAGGGATCTAGGAAGCAGAAAGATGCAATTAGGTATACTCCAGGGAAACAGTTGATTGCATTTGGCAAACACACTGATTTTTTTGTTTGCTTTTAATTAATTTTAAGATCAAGCTATTTATTTAGAAAAATAATCTCATGGCCTCAATTTATGGGTACTTGAGCCTGGATTAATGTCTCCTGCCATGAGATGTCCAAATTAAGACTAGAATTCAAATTGTTATTTTCCTATAATCGGGACAGTCAATTAGGCACCTCCAAGGCTGCATTTGGAAGAACCACTAATTATGTTAACTTTCTATGTATTTTTATTAGCTTGCTCTGGTCTTGTAATGAAATACACTAATGCTATGTTAGGGGGCTTGTATAAAAAAACTCCTGCAGAATGGTATCTGGAGAAAGAGTTGATCAGATGTTTTTGAAAGTACTGAAAATTAATCAGAGTAATGTTTAATTACTCTTAGTTGCATCCTAGCCTAAGTATTGGTGCAGACCGCAGAGCCCTCTACTCTGGCTTTGCATCATGCTTATGATATGAAACTTTTGGTTGTTTGGGTAGGGAAGTCTTCAAAGCATCTGATTATTTCAAGGGATTAATGAATTAATGATGGTAATAATGAATTAATACATGGTAACTATAGCACTGAATTCTAGCTCTTTTAAATTCTTGGCGTGGTCAAAGCTGAAATGGAGTCTATTAAGATAGTGATGACTTTATAAAAGACCACTTCAGGCTTTTAAGCTCCGGTGTCAGTTTTGTCAAGGTTTAGCTGCAGGAGCTGCTAAAAATGTAACATTAATAAAAACTTAAAATGTTTAATTTTAGTTCTTTTCAGACTTATTTATTTTCCACAATAGGTTCTCCTGAGGCGAGCGGAAACGCTGGCCTTTTGGATCAATTGGCAGCTTTGAAGTGGGTGCAGCAGAACATCGCTAGCTTTGGAGGAGATCCAAACCAGGTTTCTTTAGGAGCCGACCGTGGCGGGGCAGACGTTACCAGCATTCACCTGCTCACAGAGGCAGCAGATATGGACCTCTTCAGGAGGGTGTTGTTGATGGTAAGTCCCATTCCTGCCACTTCAACTTCATTGTGAAAGTTTGTTGTTACAGATGTGAGGATGTTGCAGAGTGTGGGTGCCATTTTTATTTCATCCATATCTTGGCAGCACTAATAGGGCTGTTATTTCTATGGTTATTTTTCATCTCACCTGTGACTGCCGTCTCCAGGAGCTGGGTGCTTCACAAGGATGTTCGAGAAACGCACTTTGGTGTTTGATTTAGTCATAGTAAGAATCTGGTTTTCGTCACTGTGGTTTTTTGTGTGTTATATAAATAGTCTTGTTTCATAACTTGTAGGTACAACAGGTTCGTTTCCATTCCATAAGTTGTTGATCAGCAGTTTTTAGACTCTAAAACTGATGAGCCAAACATCCGCATGTTTGAAGTATCCAATTTTTTTATCTGATCTCATGACGGATTTCATTAAAAAGCAAAAATAAGTTTCAGAGAGTGAGTAAAAATCCCGTCACCCATGGGCTTGTTTGCTGTCAGCCTGGACCATTTTCACAGTCACCCCAAATGATCTGTATTTTTACATCCCTTCCCATGTCAAATCTCAGGACTTTGAGGTCAAGCTTTGTCAGCTTCGATAATACCATTGATCTTTACAGCCTCAGATGAGAGTAGCATGCTCTGAAATGAGGCTTAATCTTCAGTGGAGGTTTATAAATCTAGCAGAAATGGTATTTGGACAAAATGCTTTCTCTGCTAGCAGTGTTCACTTGGAAACATGAGCAGAGCAGAATTTTTGGTCCAGGAAACATAGGACCCAATTAAATAAAATCTTGCCCTGAAATAATTTACTCTGTTACTTGATTTTTTTTTTCCCAGTGTCTCCTTGCTCCAGTAAACATAATTTGCCTTTTGCATCTCCATGTCTCAATAAGACTAAGATTATTTTAATTGTATCACTCTCGTGGAGAAGGCAAAGGAAACTGTTGAAAATTGCTGTTCAGTATTGCGTCATTCTCAGATAATTCCTCACACAGTTCCTAGATTTTAACTCAGCTCTTGGCATAGCAGTTAATTTTCTAAAAGACATGGAGTCCTTTGCTGTCAGAGTACAGTTTCTTCTCACACTTTCACTGAATTTCCAAACCCTTTACTGCCATGGCTCAGGATGGGGTGAAAACTGGAACAGGGTACAGTGCAATTTGCCAGTTGAGCAGCTGATGAAAGGGAAATGCAGGGACCTCTTTGCTTATCATTATTGCTGGAAATTACATATTACATCTTTTCTTTTATAAAATGAGGTTTGGATTCCTTCTTTCTCCTGCAGCAGGACATCGAATACTGAAAAACAATGGCAAGTGCAATGAGCAGTCAGGTGCATCAATTCCTCCCACTATTCTAGTGTTTGTTACAATTTTATTCCTGGGGACTGTGCAGACCACTGACTTGTCAAAAGCAGGATCTCCACCTATTTCAAAGTAATGTTAAGTATGTATCCTCACAGTTTCATGGTGGATTTAATTTTCTTGTGAAATACGCTGATAAAATAAAAAGTAAGCAGGAATGGCAGTGGCTTAAGAATATACTATATCTTTTATTGTGTGCAATATAGTGATGGAGAATGCAACTGTTGGCTTACTCGGATTTCTCAGCTAGATCTGTAAAGGGATGTGTCTTGTTTTTGTTCCAAGATGCCAAAATCATTGCGTACTTTTAATTTGACTGTAAGAAAAGGAGGTGCACACAGACTAAGAATCATGAAACTGAGAATATATACCAGGTATAGCTTTCCTGAGGAAAAATCCCATGAAGCAATACAGCTTTTCTGCAAAAGTTAGTTTTGTTTTCCTTGTTTGGATCTTTGTCACACAACAAAAAAAAATACTTTCTTAGCATGCAGAGAGGTGTGATGTATGAAGCCTTCTCTACAAGAAGATGTGTACCTGAAATAGAAAAATGCTTTTGAGTTTCCTATGTCAGCTCTATAATAGATTTTGTTTGGAACACATCTGAAAAAAGATTGTACAAAATCAATGTAAAGCTGTCATGGGGACTTTTTATCGCATTTCATCTTTCAGTAGAATGATCAGAAAAAAGTAGTCTCAGTAATTATGGTCTTGTTTTAAATAATTTAAGAGCATTAATATGGTGTTTGACTTCATCTTTTGTTTAATTGATTTATTTACCAGTGCAATTTTGATGTAGAAGAGTGGATCAATGGTATGGACTGCCTCCGTCTCTTGCAGGAGGCTGTGGAGATCAGATATTAGTTGTCCCATCCCAGCATTCCCTGGTGGGTGTCAGGAAGAAAGCTCCCAGGCTTCCTCCACCCAACACAAGGGAGGACACAAGGTCCCTCCTGGCCATGACAGCAAATCAGCTGATGGTGGAAAGAATAGATTCATTTCGCTACTGAAACCTACTGCAATTGGGTACAGGGATGTCTGACAAGGACCCTAAATATCCTTGATCTTATCATCAGCTACCCTTTAGATCCCCTTCCTTCCCTCTTTTCACAGAATCACAGAATCTTTGGGTTGGAAGGGACCTTTAAAGGTCATATAGTCCAACACCCCTGCAATGAGCAGGGACATCTTCAACTCGATCAGGTTGCTCACAGCCCCATCCAACCTGAGTTGGAATGCTTTCAGGGATGGGGCGTCTACCACCTCTCTGGGAAACCTGTTCCACTGTTTTACCACCTTCATTGTCAAAAATTTCTTCCTTAGATCTAGTCTAAATTTGCCCTCTTTTAGTTTAAAACCATTATCCCTTGTCGTATCGCAACAGGACCTGCTATAAAAGCCTGTCCCCATCTTTCTTCTAAGCTCCCTTTAGGTACTGGAAGGCTGCAAGAAGGTCTTCCCAGAGCCTCCAGGCTGAACAACTCCAACTCTCTCAGCCTGTCCTCACAGCAGAGGTGTTCCATCCCTCTGATCATTTTTGTGGCCTCCTCAGGATCTGCTCCAACAAGTCCGTGTCTTTCCTGTGCTGAGGGCTCCAGAGCTGGAGGCAGGACTCCAGATGGGGTCTCACCAGAGTGGAGTCGAGGGGCAGAATCACCTCCTTCGCCCTGCTGGCCACAATTGTTTGGATGGAGACCAGTAGACGGTTGGCCCTCTGGGCTGCGAGCACCCATTGCCAGATCATGTCCAATTTTTCATCCACCAGTACCCACAAGTCCTTCTCAGCCGGATTGCTCTCAATCCCTTCATCCTCCAGCCTGATACTGGGGCTTACCCCGACCCATGTGCAGGACCCTGCACTTGGCCTTGTTGAACCTCACGAGGTTCACACAGGCCCATTACTCCAGCTTGTCCAGGTTCCTCTAGATGGCATCCCGTTCCTCAGGTGTGTCAACCGCACTGCTCAGCTTGGTGTTGTCTGCAAACTTGCTGAGGGTGCACTTGATCCCACTGTCTATGTCATTGATGAAGAAATTAAAGAGTACTGGTCCCAGTATGGACCCCTGAGGGACACCACACATCACCGATCTCTATCTGGACATTGAGCCATTGACCACGACCCTCTGGGTATGACCATCCAACCAATTCTTCCTCCACCCAACAGTCCACCCATCAGATCCATCTCTCTCCAATTGAGAGAGAAGGATGTTGTAAGGGACCCTGTCAAAGGCCTTACAGAACTCCAGATAGATGACATCCATAGCGCTTCCCTTGTCCACTGATGTGGTCACTCCATCATAGGAGGCCACTAGGCTGGTTAGGAAGGACTTGCCCTTTCTGAAGCCCTGCTGGCTGTCTTGCATCACCTCCCTGTTTTCCATGTGCCTTAGCAGAGCTTCCAGGAGGATCTGTTTCATGATCTTCCCAGGTACAGAGGTGAGGCTGACAGGTCCTCAGGGAACTTTTCCCATCTCCCTTTTTTTCCCCTTTACCTCATTCCCTCTCAAGCAAACCAACCACCTCTGATTACTACTTCTCCATTGGTCCCAGTTTTGCTACACCTTTACCCAAATTTGGTATTTTTGATATTGTTTCTTAGGTAATCTCTGATTTGTATAGAATCACATAGGTGCTGTTGACCCTTGAAAGACCATGCTTCCCAAAAGGTCCCTAATATAGTCTTTTAGTTATCTGTGAGAAATGGCCAGCCCTCACAGAATTTTCCCATAACCATCTGTGAAATCCAGCCATCCCTTATGGCACAATTCATAAGTTTTTGTCACTTTCTCATGTTGTTACTGTGAGGGTGATCGAGCGCTGCCACAGGTTGTCCAGGGAAATTGTGTGGTATCAATCCTTGGAGATATTCAAAAGCCATCTGGAAACAGTCCTGGGCAACCAGCTCTAGGTGGCCCTACTTGAGCAGGGGGGTTGCACCAGGTGATCTCCAGAGGTCCCTTCCAACCTGAACTGGTCTGTGATTGTGTGAACCTGTCGTTATCAGAACATGTCTTATCCCCTTCCCACAGAGCTGGGATGTTCCAAGTGCTGCCCAGTTAAAGGGAGTGTTGGATTCTTTTGTTGCATTCCATCAAAGATACCTTCTGGCAGCATCATTGCAAGACTGGGTGTTTGTACTAGTTGCACACTAAGTTTTCCATTTTCTAAAAGCAAGAAAAAGTAACTACTGGATATTATTTTAATTAATAAATACATCATGACTTAGAAATCTATTATGCTCCTCATACACTGGATAAAATGCAGTCATCATAACACATTAATGATCAGTAACAATAATGAGATTATACAAACATAGAGTTCCTGAGTTCATTTTCCTTTGTGGTGTTCAGTGTTTATCAGCCAAATTACATTCCCCCTTTAAGTTCTGAAATATGTTTAATTAGGGTGGGAACTATTTTGATCTCTGAATCTCTCTTGCTAGTGCAAATGATCTCTTACAAGATCTAAAGACCACAACTATTTTTGCTACGAGGTATTTACAGAGGAAAAGAAAAAATATAAACCAAATTTTCTATCTCGCCATACCTTCATGACTCAAATTTGTGCAAAAAAGTATGACAGAATATCAGATTCAAAAGATCTCGAATCGAGAACATAGACTGCAGCATTTTACACCCCTAGATGTGACTATTTGATTTAGAAAGCAATCACAAATCAGGTTCAAAGGACCATGCTCTTTTATAACTTAGCAAAGAATACATGTATACAAAAGAATTCTCTAATCTGTGAAATTTCAGATGACCCAGTTAGAAATCTTTAAGCAATTTGATAAAATGTGTCATTGCTATTTGACATAACTCTCTTCAGACAAGAAATTCAGAAATCTCTTTAGCATCCACTGTTACTGATTTGCTCTCTTAGTTTAATTATATGTAAAAAGCTGCTATTAATATAAATATTATACATAAATATGGGGGTGCCTTCAGGAGATAAGGTTAAAATCTGGTCTTCTACACGTAACAGGTCACACATTTGCAAGCCTACTTTTGCAGTTAGGCAAGTTATTACCACATTTTACTTTTCCCTTAAAAAGCCCACTTTATTCTCTGATGCATGTCTGCTAGAATATAAGCAACTGAGCTATGCTTTCGTATATACCTGTACTCCCATCTCAGGGCTAAGCAGGAACCTCTCAGTCAGTTAAGCCTACTCTTAGTTTTGTGACCTTTTTGTGACACTGAAGGCCATTACCAGCAGTTGAATTAAATGCCACTTGGGAAGTCAATGATTTAAATTTTTTTCCCCTAAAAAGTAAAAATGGCAGAAATATGGAGTCAATATAATCTGGTGGCTCTTGCATTCCAGATGTTGGATACTCTCTCAGGGTTATTGATGGCTTTCTGACCCACTGTCAATGACAGTGAATGATTCTATATGGAGAAGAAAAAGGCTCCTTTTCTCAGCATAAGTAGGTTCTGTAAAGATGGTTTTCAGCCCTGTGGAGAATACTAGAGTAAGACTTAAATTAAGTTCTTCAGCTGTAGTTAGTCCTTCCCTATGCAATCACCTTTGTACAGTGGTGGGCATCATCCTCACTGAAGGGTCATCTGCCTTGCTTGGCTCTTGACTTAGAGTCTATCAGTTTATCCTGCTTGTGAGCAGGTTCTAATTTCAGGTGTACTGGGGATGTTCCCAGCATATGCCATGGCTGAGACCACCCTTAATAAGGTCTCTGGTTAACATTCAGAAGAAGAAATGCAGAAGCATTGCCAGCATTTGATCATCAGTTGGTGTGCTTGTATCCCTCAGCTGTCGAAGGACTGCATGACCATAGGATGCTCTGGGTTTCTCTTCTAACCTGGGTTTTCCAACCCCTAGTTTTCCCTTGGTTGTCTTACGTTTAGTCTTCATAGTATGTAGGTGGCAAGTGAAGGGTACTCTTACGTTTGCTCCCTGTGTATATAAGAGATTGGGCTTTCTTCTTTCTGGCACTTGCAAAAGAAGCGTCGTCACCCCGTGTTAAGGAGAGGTAGGAAGTAATACTTTCCCTCAGGCCATAGCTGAGACAAGAATCATCTATTGCTGCCAGGGTGCTTTCAGTACCTTCAGTCACCTCCAGCCTTTAAAAAACAAAATTTTGTTACTATTTCAGCTACTTGAACTGAGCCTATTAGTATAATATTAACAGTTGTTAAACCAAATTATGTTAATATGGTTGTATAAAAAATTTCCTGGCTCATAAATCACCAAACATTTCTGTCACTTAGTGATTTGCTGAAACAATCACTACAATAGTAGTATGTAAATATTTTTTGGCATCTGGAAAGGAAGTAACATCGATACACTTTCTCTCTTTCTTAATCTGTAGGAAAAATGGCCTCGCTACTGCACAAAATTTTCTTGCATTTGCAAGTAAATGTATGCTTTGTGAAGGAAGAGTAGTGGAGGGAAATTTACACTTCAAAAATAAGAGGTGCTTTTGTTTCTGAAGGTGGTTGCTTCACCAGCTTCTGAAACTTGACCTACTTTCTCTAGTTGCAGTCACGATATTAGAAATCTCATGAACCTTGAGTTGGACTCTGTATTGAGAGACACAGCAGGAAAGATTTACACTGGGATAATGTGTTCATTGCACTTGTGGTGCTCCGTGGATGGCCACCATGTGAACAAGGGGGAGCCATTTTTGACTATCGGGGCTCATCTGGAAGCCGTTGCACATTAGTGTGCCATTGGTGGTGGTTCTGACTAGAATTTATGTCGTGGCTCTTACTCCTGCCCCCTTGGAGGAGAGGACTCATGAGTCTCAGTGGGACTGTATGCAGCCGCACTCTTAGCTGCATAGGAGAAATGATTTAATATTAACTATACTTTCTTCCAAAGTTAGACCAAGACTACCAGTTAGAAAGCTGGACATCCAGTTTTCATGGGTTAACCTGCTGTCAGTAGCTTTTTGTCTGCTTTTTAAAACTGGTCTCAGGAGAAGGAAGTGGCTGCTGCTTCTGTGCTGTAAGTGCAAGTATATACAAGGCTGGAAAAAACCCTTCTGGCAGCCTGTGTCGCCTGTGGTACCTGTGAATGTTTCTCCAGTTGAAGTTTTTATTCCGCATCACCACAGGAGGAACTTGATTCGTTATGCTGTTGTTGTTAGTGCACTGGGTAAGACAAGGTGTTGTAAGGACACAGCAGAGACCATCAGCAACTTCTGAACAGGGAAATGAATACACAGAAAGTTAATCTTTGCTCACTGTTCTCTTCACTGTTTTCCTACCCTGGTGCATGCCCACGTAAACACTTTTGGACACAGTAGTAGTAGTCAATAAGTTGTGATGTTCTCAGCAAGGACATTGTAACACAGACTTAACATTTTTCTTTCTTCATACCTTTGCCTTTTAATTTATCATGGCGTATATTTCCCACAGTAAAAGTGAGGAACTGAGACACAAAAATATAAAGTGACTTGCCTAAACTCTAGAAGGAAGTTTGGGACAGAGCAAGGACTTAAAGCCAGGTTTCTTGAGTCCTCAGTGAGTTCTGCTCTGTTCAGCTGTGCAAACAGAGTGCAAAACAGATGCAAGATGCAACCACTCAGATTGGATTGTGTGTGCACCTATTCTGCTGTGGAATGAATCAAGGTTCTCATGTTCATGCTGCAATTAGGTTATGGCTGAGGGAACTGGGGTTGTTCAGTCTGGAGAACAGGTGGTTGAGGGGAGACATTACCATTTTCTACAACTACCTGAAAGGTGGTTGTAGTGAGGCAGGTGTTTGTCTCTTCTCTCAAGTAACTGGTGATAGGATGAGAGGAAATGGCCTCAAGTTGCACCAGGGGACATTTAGATTGGATATTAGGAAAAAATTCTTTACTGAAAGAGTGGTCAGGCATTGGAACAGGCTGCCTGGGAAGATGGTGGAGTCACCATCACTGGACGTGTTGAAAAAACGTGTAGATGTGGCACTTCAGGACATGGTTTAGTGGGCATGGTGGTGTTGAGTTGACCGTTGGACTTGATCTTAAAGGTCTTTTCCAGCCTTAATGATTTTATGATTCTATGATTCTATGAACCTCTTCTCCTTGCTCTGTTAGGAATGTTGCTTATGTTCTGCTGACCAAGCATAGAATATTGTGGCTGAATGCTGGTGTTTTACGCCTCTGAGCCTTATTTCAGGGTGAGATTCTGTAGCATGTCATGGTGAAGGAAGGAGAAGAGCTAAATCTCACTGTCTGCTCTTACATCTATAACTCCAGTAAAAATACCAGTTGTTGTAAGTTTTGGTGTGTCCATCCCCCATACCCTCTCACAAATTTTAGGCTTTGATTGTTTGCTTCTTTCTAAATGGAGAAAGGTTTCAACTAACTAAAATGTAAAAAAAAAAAAAAAGTCCCGTTCAAATTCTCACTCTTCTGTTTATATTGTTGGACTTGAGAATTTCATTTGCATGGTGTGAATGTAAATATGGCTTTTCTCCCCAGTTTATCAGAGTACTCTTCTTTGGCCAGCACACTTTTTCATTTATCTGTGACATACGCAGATATGGTGGCTTTACACTTTTAGTATTACAGAATACCCATGACTAATTAAAGCACAGAACCTATTGTTCTCTTGTAACTTTTATGCAATTAACTTATTGCAATCTTCCTTCCTCATTTTTAAATGTTCTCTTTTTAATATGTAGTAACTGCAACCTCTTAATTGTGGTGTTTTTCAAGTTATCTCTTTGACACAGGTTAGATTGCCATAAATCTCAAAAACTATCATTAAAACAGGTGTCATCCACTGGACTGATATTATTAAAAATGCCAGCTGCATCTAGATTTGAGCTAACAGCTTGAGCCCCTTGAGATAAATTCTGCTGAGAAAATCCAGCCATACGCTTCTAAAGGGGAAGGGAAGAAACTAACAACACTTCTGAGAATTTTCTGCTGCAGATAAAGCTGTGTGATGCAGTAGTTTCTAAGAGAAACGTGATTGCAGAACCTGATCTGCTGTGTCCTGATGCTCTCTGTCTGTCTATATGGTAAATAAATAATAGTCAGACATGTCTGTGCTGGTAAACAGTGTAAGCCAGGAGTTGAACTCTGGCCCTGGGACCCAGAAACATGACTTGCATCCATACAGCTTAACATTTCTGTACACCTAAATTTTGATGTTAACTGTGCTCTGAGAGGGGCAGGGCATCCCTGGCCTGTGCTAACTTCCAAACACCATTGGAATCACTGGAAGTGTTCAAAAAACATGTGGACCTGGCACTTCAGGATATGGTTTAGTGGGCATGGTGTCATTGGGTTGGTTGGACTTGATGATCTTAAAGGTCTTTTCCAACCTTAATGATTCTGTAATTCTGTGATTCTGAATGTTGTCTAAGGGAGTGCCAGACACTAGTGGTTGGACCAAAATAGTGTTATTGACAGCTCTAATGACATGGCCATACAATATCATATGCCAATTTGGGCAGAGCCTATTTGTCTTTATTTAGTGGAGTTCTTGGGTTGAATTTAGTTGTACTGTTAGGGGTAACATATTTTTATTTAGGATAAAAAAATAAAGTAAAAGATATAAACCAAAGGTTTTTCCATTACTTGTTCTGTGACAGTAGTTGCAAGTCTTGGACATAGGCAAAACTTTTTGTTCTGGACCTTTGATATATAGTTTTACAGTTGCCAGTGGAAAATATGTTTATTCTGCAGTTCTTTTTACCTGAGTAGTGATTCACAAGGTCTTCAAGGCACTGAAAGGTTTGCCGTGGAGAGATGTAATACCAGTTATTTGGAAGGCGGAAGATCCTGTAATGTTTCACTTGCCTGTGCCGCACCGACAAGGAATATAACCCTGGAGAAAGAGGAGAACTAATTACACCAAAGTAAGGCCCTAATTCTGGATGGATAACAGTGGCCATGGTGCCATGATCCAAAAAGTCATAGAAAGACCTGAGTGGCCATCCTAATTTCTACTTATATAGTATACTTTATATATTTACTTAGGTATAACAAAGGGAATAAAGGGCTCAGCATCAGGACCTGAAGTTTTGATTGAATTTAAATTTCTGGTGTGTTTTCCCTTTATTTTTGCTGGTATGGGATTTTTTGAAATGGTGTAAATGAAATAGGCTTTCACAGAAGTTGTTTGCCTTCCTCTGAAGATGGGGACCATACTCATCTGCTGGTACGCTGATTTAATCAGCTCCTACTAGTGCAGCAGCTGACACCTGATAGTGCAGTCCTGGCAGGAGATGACAACTTGGATTTTCCTGTTGCTTTGTTTAAAAATATCGTGCAGCGTTTAGTTGGTAAGGACTGAATGTTGATGCTAACTTTCTTTGAATTTACTATGGGTATTGGCCTATGGTATGCAAGAGGTCAGAGCAGATGATTTAGTATTCCTTTCTAACTGCAGTATCATGAAATTAGGATGTGCTCTGATGCTTCAGAAAAAGGGGAGATACCACATTGCACAATGGGAGATGTATTCCCATTGAAGAGAATAAAAGTATAAAGTGTGTACAGTACAATTCCCATGTAGTGACACAATTGCTACAAAAGACAATAAAATTGAAGACATGTCATTTTTAAAAAGCAAATAAAAGAACCACCTGTTTATATAGGAAATGCAATTATCAGCCCTCCCTGCACTGCTTGGTGTGTATTTTATAGCTTCTTCAGGCAATCTTTTGTGGACCAAGGCAGAGCTGTGACTTTTCCTCCATTTGAAAAGTCCCACTGCCTTATAAGCTTTGCATGCAATCAAAGTAAATAATAGTGTTTAAACAACTGTGTCTTGTTCGTACTGATGCCTGTGGAACTTTCCATGGCCTTTGCTAACCCTGCTTCCAGCACCGCTCGTAACGTAGGTGACTGATGAAGACCGGCATGCTGCACAGGGTGCCTTTGCCTCCCCATTACATGCATTTTCTGGTTTTGGACTGATCCATATGAAGCAGGACAGGGAATGAATTAAAGAGCTGTAAAACTGTTAATGCCTGAGACCAAGGGGGGGAAAAAAAATCGTATTTTCTCACCTTTCCTAGTTTCACTCTCTCTGATCATGAAGGAGCCGACCTTGGTGTTGGGTAGCTGTAGAAGTTCCTCTGCTTTTTCTCTTCCCAGTCCTTCAAATAACCAGCTGTGAAGCAGGAAAAAACAAATTCTGAAATTTGGACACCAGTGAAACAGAGAGCAGCATGTGGCCATGAAAGTGCAGCATTAGCCAGGAAAAGTGACTGCAAAAATAACACTGTGGCTTTCTGTAGTTATTCTCTCAACTATGTCCAGGCATATTTCCCCAGTTTATGGAGAATATCTTGCTCTCCTTTTTCATGTATTGAGTTCCATTTACTTTTGTGAGACTAAAAGAAGAATGAATAAGGTTTGGACTTACTAGGGAAAACACAACTTTTCAAGCTGCCTTGATCTGAATAGTTTGGGACATATCATAGAATCATAGAATGGTTTGGGTTGGAAGAGACCTTTAAAGACCATCTAGTCCAACCCCCCTGCAGTGAGCAGGGACATCTTCCACTCGATCAGATTGCTCAGAGCCCTGTCTAACCTGACCTTGAACGTTTCCAGGGAGTGGTAGATTGATGGCGTATCTGTGGCATTAGTTAACTCCCTCTTTTCATTTAAACCACTTTTGTTAACCCCAAATTTTATTGTATTGTAAACATACACAAAATGAAATACAATTTTTCTGCCTGTGCTGGGGCACAATCCAGTCATTTAAGTCAATTGGGTTTGTGGGTAAGGGAAAGTGGAATTAGTCTTATTGATTGTCTTCATCAGTAAGATTCGATACAGTCTGCTTTCAGCAAAATGGTCTTGGGGGAACTGCAGACAGTAGCTTTCTGTTACCCATATGTGCCCTGTCTTTGGAAAAGCACCTCTACCTCAGGAGGATATAAAAGCATATTAAAATTTAAGCACTTGCATAAATCATAATGAAGTCCGTAGTTCATGTGCTTAAAATTAAACAGGTATTAAAACCTTTGCCAGAAAAGTTATAAGTGTGTGTTTTAATGTTGTTTTCCTGACTGGTGTCTAGGGCAACAGGAAACCTCTGAACCTTCCTTAGTTCTTCCAGTGTGAGGGTTTACATCCTTGAATGACTTATTAGTCTTTCTATTTGTTCCTTTTGGTCTGTTTTTCATGAGCAACTCTAGCTTAAATTTTACTCTTTGTAAATATTAATAATTCTTTCTAAATAAAGTGTCTTTATACATGTCTTAAAATTAGAGATCAGTCCATGCAACAGAAATATTTTAAATATCTTCTATGATGTTTGAGGGTTTTTTGACCCTTCCCAGCATTTTCCAAAATCCTTCCTAGGATTTTCCTTTTCATATATTGTGAACTTAGGTGTGGATTTGATGTACTCAGATTTCAAAGGAACTATTTTAGACTATCAATAAATAGAATTTCTGTCTGTCTAGTCACTATTGGCATTGTTTTAGTTATGACATTGAATAACTCTAATCACGGTAGTATATGTACAAATATAGTGTTGAATGGCTATAGGAAATGCATTTACTTACCCATGGTAAACCTTTGCTACATATTTTCCTGGAATATAGTTTTCTCTACCTGTTGTAAGGGAATGGACTCTCCACCAGCCTCCTTCACTATGTGAAAACAAGAGAAGAGATATTTTCAGATGTACTTTCAGAGCTTGTCCTAATTTTAGAAATGAATTAAGATATACAGATTAACCTGTAACCTTCTGTCTGTGTTCCTGAATCTACATATTCAGAAAGGGACCCAAGTCTGTTTCATGTAGCGTAGTTCCATTTCTAAACCTACATTAGGATTAAATTTGGACACAGAAATAAGCTACATTTGTTCCATTTAAATTACGTAAGTAATAAAATATTTTTCTGTAGTTAAAAGGAGAAGGGTAAATACTCAGTGGTTAAACCATGCTGTGCTCTGCCTTCCCACAGCTTGCACTGGTATCCAAGATATTCAGTTTACGGCTGAGTATGTTGTGTCTGGACAGCCCTGTAGTTAATCCTGTAACGTCAGGGTAGAGATACTCAGCAAATGGACTCTTTCTGCCTGGGAACAGGTTTTCAGTCTAACAGAACCTGGTTCATGGTTTACTCTTTCTCTTTTCTTCAATGAGATGGTGACCAGGCTCCAATAAAAAATACCTCATAGCTGCAACTAGGAGACTAGGCACATATTTTTTTGCACTGACACATTTTAGGTTCTTGCTGTGATATTGAGTGCTGGCTTTAGCTTTTGAATCCTTTAGGAAGGGCAGGGTAACAAGAATTTTCACAGGGATGCTGTGGAGCTTTAGTGCTTAACAAAAGGGGTTGTGGCGGTGCTGAGTTACGATGATTGATGAATTCTCTCCACCTTTTCTTTTAAGACTTTGAATCTAAATAATAGTGTGTCCTGTAAGGCTCTTTCTGTGGGTGTTCATATAAATGCTCCTAAATAATGCCCAGACTGCAGACCAGATTCTCAATGAATGTCAAAACAGCTGAGTTGAAAACACTTAAGTTAAACCTCCTGAGTTGTAGCTGCTGGGACCATGGTCCAGACTGTATATGCTGAGGGAAAAGGAGAAGTGTCTGCTCCTCAGAGCTGGAAATTTCAGGGCCCCACAAGTTTTGTTTGTGGGTTTCCAGCTGACATGAAATAATCTATAAGAACTTCAGGTTATTTGGGTTTTGTTTCCCCGTGACTCTCCCAGACAGAACCAAGAACTGCAAGAACAAAAAACCCGAGAGACTCAGCATCTCCCTCCCCCCGCACTATAATATTACTAACCCTGAAAAATCCCAGTGATGATTAAAAGTCCCAAAGCATCACATGTCGCCTGGGGCAGAAGCTCCAGAGATTATGTAGATTCGGGGGATCATTGGAGGACATCTGATTTGACTACTGCCAGCTACTGAAAGGTGTCTGACAAGTGTCAGAGAAACTGGGCCAGTGGTGCTTATCTAGTCCTGCCAACGCAGAGCAGTCACAGATATCTGGGAGGAGTTGTATTTTCTGTGGGGGTTCCATACATCGTGTTCCTGGCAGGGTTGGCGGGGCCAGTTGCCGCTACACGTAATTGCTTTGGTAGAAGGTTGAAAAGCTGCCGTTATCAAAGCAGGACGTGCTGCCTGCTCATGCTGGCTTCTCCGTGGTGACTCCTTGTCAGTCATGTTCCGATCGTGCCTGCCATGCTGCTGCTCTCTTCCACTGCATTTTGGTTCTTTGGATGACTTGAGAAAAAGATTATACCTTCAGATTATGTGCAGCAAGGGTCTGTATGCAAACAGTTCCTCTTAATATCAGCACATACCCCAGCAGGGAAGAACAGGCCCTTCATTAGGACACTATGCTTTGCATAGAGCATTGGAGTGTCTTGTCTTCTGTGAGCAAGCTGATTCAAAACAGGAAGAGGAAAGTTCCCATCAAGGCTTGCTTTGGCTCTTATTTGCTATTAGGAGAAGCTCTTGATTGCAGCACAACAGACAAACATGACAAAAACTGCTGCTACAGAAGCCTAGTTCTTTTAGAAGTTGTTCGTCCAGTAGATCATGCTATGCAGCACATGTATGCCTGTGATATGACACGCATATAATTCCCATTCATATAGGCATATGTAGTTTATGTGGTGTTATGGGGGCCCGTAGCTGATGAAAGTTAGGAGCAAGGCTTTAAGCTGGAATTTCCAAGCGAAAGCAATTGTTCTACCATGTCGTGTATGTTACGCAAACTATGGCAAGGTTTAACTAGCTAGAAGTTACCAGAGAAGAATTCCCCTGCTCTAGGGAAGCTCTCCATCAGCAGAAACTTGATCTAGTGGTATTGTCTGAGCCTTGTGACCTAGGTTCAGGGAGGCAGGGAAAGCACTTCGTCAGCAGAACATAGATGAAGCCTTTTTGGGTCAGACCAAAGGTCCACATAGCCCCATATCTTGTTGCTGACAAAGGCCATTGTGGGTCACCATGGCCTGGAGAAGAGTCTGATAATTCATCAAGCATCTGTAATACTTCTCTTGAGTACTTCTGTCTTCCAACCATTTAATGCTCTGACTTTTCCACATAGAGATTTCTTTTTATGAATTTAGAAATCCTCAGAAGATTTCTCTGCTATGAATGTATCTGGTCTCCCCTCGAATCCATCTGCTCCACCAGCTGCAAAAATGAAATTTCTTATTTCTGTTTAAGCAGTGCAAACAGAGGCTGTGGGGCTGAGTAAATCCGAGGAGGTCACTGTGTGCCGATACAAGGCGTGCATAAATGAACGTCAGGGTTTGCTGGCTTCCATTTTTCAAGAAGTGTATTCACTCTTGTGTTGTGGCAATATTTGCACTATGCTTAAGGTCAGTCTGAACTAGTTCTCTTAAACCTAATTCCTTCTGGGGCTCATAAAATTTTTGAGTGGAAGTTGCTGGGAAATCTTTGACCTTCCACTACCCCCGCCAAGAAAATGCATAATCAATCAAAACATTAAGAAGGCATCCCCCTCCCTTTTTTTTTTTTACTTTTGTTAGAGTTGCCTTAAATCTAGGGTGAAATTATAAGACCTAATCATAAAGGAGTTGTTAGATAAAAAGGGTGAAAGAGAAAATGAGACACACACTTGACATACAGAGAAATTCAGAATAATTTTTGTTTTCTATGTGACTCCAACTATTTTTGCTCTTTGTTTTCCACTAACATGAGGGGGATACTTTCTCAAAATCATTTTTCAAAGCAGAATTCTGAGTCCTACTTTAGAATAGAGTCTGAATCCAGCTTCAGAAACCATGTCAGAGGAATCCAAGGATCAAAAAACAATTTGAAATCCCAAATCCTTAAACTGTAGGGTAATTTACACCACGGCTAAGCATCCTTCCTTGCAAATTCTACTCAGTTTATTTTGCTGAACTGCATCCAGTTTGGGCCAGGTGCATAAAACAGAGCTTTGCATCAATTGTAACAGAACCTTTTTTTTTTTTTTTAAAAAAGATCAACTTACTCTGATAGCACACGTAGTTTTTCCCCTACATGAAATATAGGTTGGCTTATATCTGCTGAGGGATAGTCATAGAGGACAGCAAGGAAATCACTCTCCTGACCTGTTAAAGAAGAAAGAAAATTTAACTTAAAACCAAGGTAGGGTTCTGAAGCAGAAATGGACTTTTCATTATGTATGTTACATTTTACATAATAGGTCAAACATGAAAAAAATCTCACTCTGAAATGTCACTTGGTAAACATAAAGAGATAAAGATGATCCTGTGAATTTATAAGAAGAATGTGAAGATATTAGAAATGAAAAAAAGTCGTTTGGTTAATTGTAAGTAACTAATTTTAGACCACTTTTTCTAGTAATTACCATATTTAACGGATGTATTCAGTTTGAAACTAGCAAAATTAGTAAGTATTTACAGTATTAGGAAGTAACCCAGTTTGATTAATGCCACTGTCTCTAAATGCCTCCAGCTACAATTTTGAGCCAAGCTGATGCATTGCGTTTAAGGAAAGGAAGATGCATGTTGAATTGTTCCATCTTTTAACATCACAGATGCTTTTCAAAGGTATGGAATTAGTTTAGAGCAAGGACAATGAGAGCATGGCCATTATTGCCCAATTCCCATCAGTTTTGTGAATTAGCTTGATGAACAGTCAGAGAGCTTTATTCTCCGTGCCTTGCATGGAAACTCTTCTAGAGGTAGCACGATGCCCTTATCTTCAATTAGAAGAAGATAGGCAACGTGGGTGTTTATAATTAAATCATTGTACAACTGCAATCTGCAGAACTGAGGTCAGTAGAGATAAAGCCTTTTAGATCAGTTGGGATGACTTTGGACCTTGCAGCACTGCACAGCACGTGCTGATTCTCCTGGGTTCCTGAGGGATGGAGGAAGCACTTTTCATGCAATTGGGACTATCAAACATTCAAGAGCTCTTCATCCAGTGGGAATCTGCTGTGCCCAGCACATGCTGACAGGTGGAAGGTTCAGAAATGTGTCATGCTGGGTGTTTTCAGCTCTTTGGCAGAAGTCCTGGCAAGGGCGATCGTGCAAGGCCTTTCTCCTGGAGGTGGGTCCCTTCCCTCTGCATGTTGTAGGACCCTCCACTCGCACACGGGGAGACAAAGCTTCCCCTCTGCCTCCGGCAGGATCAGTGTCCTGTTCCGCAGTAAAACCATCTAGCAGTACGTCTGCAGAGGCGGTTTGATCTCCGTACTTGCCCACTCTGTGCAGCTCAACATGTGCAAAAATGGGAATGAATTCAGGGGAGGAGAGAAAGAAATTACCCAGTAGGACAGGCGCACTCCCAGATCTTGTTAGATTTTCTTGTTTAGTACAGATTCCTCATCAACTTGTCTTTTAGGGAAAAGATTGTCAACAGTTTTTGAGGGAAACCTAGAAAGAGCATCCAGAATGAATGCTGAGACTGGTCTGTGTTTTCAGCCCCTGTGTCCCAGGGCCTTACAAATAACTCACAATGACAATGATGAAAGGCTGAAGGAAACATGCAAGTCTGTGGAAAAGAAACATTTTCAAGAGGAGAGATTTTACACTTGTTACCCTTACAGCAGTGATAATGAGAACGCCTGAAGGAAAATATTCCACATCTGTGGTTTAAAGGACATAAAACCCAGTGTTTTCTCAGTTGATTTTGAGTAGCTGTTTGTTGTTATGATATGGAGACCAGAGTCATGCAAAGTAGTGGGTCATTTTACCTTAATATTCAAACTGAATGTAAGCGTTTTTAGTCTTGCTAGCCTTTGCCCATTGAAGTAGCCCCACGATACAGTTAGTAAGCCTCCTTATGGATGCATATATTTGTAGAGTCTGGAATAGACATTGGTTAGTTTGACAGTGTGTTTAGTATTAGCATTGCCATGATTTTCTTAGTTGATTAGAGTCTCTGAATTAAACAGGACTACTCTGATACATTTATATTTGTATATTCAACTGCCCTGATTAGTCTACTGCAACTTATACAATTTGTTCAACTATGCTGAAGAAATTCTCTGCTAAGTGTGCCTTTGATTGCTTCCCTGTTCTGCACTAAAAATTGAGACACTCTGTGTCTATGAAACAGAGGCTAATGAGACCTAAGTATTGGTGCTGAGTCTTTTTCAACAAAACAAAATCTTTACCCAGGACTACATGAAATTAATGCCAGAGGGTACATTGTAAGACCTGCAGAGTGAGGATAAAGTGCTGTTGCCTAATTTCTCATTGCAGATTGTTAGAGAGCAGTTCAACATGGAATGTATTTTTTTTTTAGCTTAATGAAAATGCCTTTAGCAATACCTTTTTTAAACTTATGCTGTTTGTTTATAAATGTTTTATTTCCGTACTGAAAGGGTGGAAAAAAGTGCTTTTCTGCTCTCCTTCCTTGCGTACCAAGTGGTTTGCATTTTTTTATGCACTGCAGGGTACATGACTTTTTCTCTACTCTCGCAAGATCTGCATTACTTTGCTTACACTTTCGTCTTTATATTCATTTTTGTTTCAATTTTGCACACGAATTTGTAGTTCTGAAAAGGAGGGAATTAATCACAGTGTTAACTGCTACATCCATGCAAACATTACCTCTTAAACTACCTTTCACTTAGAGTGAAAGTAAAGGAGTTTTGTACTACCCAAAACCTTTCAACCATCCTACTCCACAAACAAGACCTTATTTTAATTGGTATTTAAATCAAACCTCACCGGGTTTTTTGGTCATGTAGAGTGTGGTGGGGTACTTTACAACATTTCACAGAACCCATACTAGCTCCTTTCAAGCACAAAAGCCTCGAAACTGGAACTAAACAAATTACACTGTTTCTCCACACCTAAATTTCACAGTGATCTAATAGATTTGATCTGATGAGCTCCCCACACTTTTAAGTCATAGAAGAAAAAAGGTTTGCCTGAGTTTTTCTAACATAACCTCTCCTCCGCAGTGCAAGCATAGGTTACATCTGAAATGGAACAACTCAGAAGTTAAGAGTGGGAAGATCGGAGCAGAGTCATTTCCACTGAATCAATTGTTAATTCTGGTGGGGCTTTTTTTAGGAGTAGGAAATGAATATTAAATACATGCTAGTTTTAGATGCCTGCATCCCTGGATGTCTTGCAAACTATGAGACTGAATGTTGCATGCTTCAAATTATTCATTGTGAATGGACCACGAAACACTATTAGAGAGAAGGGAGAGCCTAGGCTACTGCCTACTGCTCTGTAGCAGTGTGGTCCCTGTCTGGAGTGGGAGTGAGCTGCTCAGAGCTCAGCACCCTGCATCATCCCAGCTTTACTGTCCAGCAGAAATACTATGATTTGTGGCATGGCGTGTACCCAAGAGGGTAAAGGAGGGCACTCGTGTGTGTGCAGGAGGCTGGCCGTGCAGCAGCCGTAAGGTGTGGCTGCAGAGTCACACTGGCGTACCCAAATTAGATCTAAACCAGCCAGCTTGGGAACTGAGAGTTATGCAGGTGCAGCTCAGTAAGGATTAACCCTTGATTCAGGGTCCTGGGGGATGAAAAAGAAGGGGGTGGGCTCACAACACCTGATGACCCCTTGCTCCTGTAGCTACTCTGTTATCAGCACCTAGGATGTGTCAGGGATGCCCACACAAATGGAGTGCAGTCATATTTGGAGTCAAAATGCTTCCTTGGGAAATGCAGTTTATGCAGTGTTCCCTTTCTCAGGACCAAGACTGATGCTCTGGAGGTGAGGAAAGCACAAGGTTTTGCTTTCAGTGCAGGTCTTGGGCAGCACGAGGGGCTTATGGCGGTCTGATGAACACATTCACGCTGCAGATCAAGTCTGGAGACTCCAATTATCTGTTTTCTTCTCCCTTCTTCTTGGATGTTCTTTCCTTCCGTTCTTTCCCTTCTGTTTCAGGCCTTCATTTTATTCAGTCTCACTGAAATGAACCGGTGTAAAACCTGCTTTTTCTAATAACTATTTGGACTGTTGTAAGTTTGTGGATTGGATCCTTCACCTCACTTTAAGGTGGCTGTTCCTGGCCTGGGGGAAATGTTCTGTGCTTGGTGATGTGATTTGGAGTTTGATCTGCTCAGGAAAACAGACATATACAAACTCACCAGACTAATCCCAATATATGCTTTTAGTACCAAGTTCCTTTTCAAAAGTCTGTTTCCATTGGATTTGGATGACAGTACTGATGCTTGTATTCCCAACTTTAATTAGCAACATCTAAGCCATTATGAAAGATGTTGGTCTGATCTAGACTAAGAGTTAGATCCAAAGAGCTATGCAGGCTGTTAGATCACAGAATCATAGAATAGTTTGGGTTGGAAGACACCTTTAAAGGTCATCTAATCCAACTCGCCTGGAGTGAGCAGGAACATCTTCAATTAGATCGGGTTGCTCAGAGCCCCGTCCAACCTGACCTGGAATGTTTCCAGGCGCCCGGGGAACCATAACCCCCCCCCCCAGGTGACAGCAGAAGGTCAGACAGGGTCTGAGAGAGCACCTTTCTAGATGTGCTAGACGTGTAGGAGAGTGCAAGTAGATCAAGCCTGGAATTCCTAAGTGGGTAATTTCCCCTGCACTCGCTGTGCGCTCTAAGTTTGCTGAGTTATCTTTTAGGGCTATATTCTATTTATGTCACTGGGAGGGATGTGGTTGGCTTTAGCCCTGCTGAATCCTGACTTTTAGCATGTGCAGGAACAATACAAACCTGGCCACAGCCACGGCAGCAAGCCCTCGCTCCCCTGCTCATCAACAAGGTCTTGCTCTGGGTGTGAGCATGTCTCTGTTTTGATGGTTATGGTATTCATAACAGCGGTTGCTGGGAATTATCAACAAAAGGCACAAAACCCCCCAAACTGTCAGTTCATGTTATGGGCCTCTGAGTAGCCTTAACGGTATGCAGTATCTGCTTTATCAGGACCTAGGGCTACGAGGGCTGCCCCTATCAGCTAGTTCTTGGCCATGCTAAAGGCAGGGCTGGGTTTCCTTCCAGCACTAATGAAACCAGGCTGATTCCCCGTCCTTATAGTACTGAGCAGCACATTGGACCATCTTTCATGGAAAATCCAGAAATTTTGATTAATGCCTTCCCCCAACAATAAAAAACAAAGATTAAAACAAAATTATTTTCTCTTCCGCACCTTTGTACCAGCTGTCTGTCATGTTGTGGCATGAGAGCTGAGGCTGTGCTGACTCTCCACCTACTCACTTGCAGTTTGGGAGTAGCAGGTCACTGAATCCCTCCTTTCCCCCCACAGATGCATGACCTCTACCAGCCTACGTGGGGGCTTGGCAACCTGATTTTTTCACGCGCAGATGCATAGGGCAGATGTGTGAGATGCCCCTTTGGCAGCTTGGCCTGTGAAATGTGTATTTCTGTATAAACTTTATTGATAAACCTGGTGACGTGGAAGGTTTTCCGCGTGCTACATTTAATGCAACTAAGTAAGTGGACTTCAGGTTCAGTGCAAGCATAACATCATCAAGGTTTTTAACCTTAAATGAAGCAAAACCAAATTTGTATAAAACATCACATGCAAGTATGTCAAAATACAGTATTTCTCATATCTGAAGTAGTGCTTCAGTGCTTTCTGAATTGGAAGGAACTTCTTTCAAGGAGCACCAGCAAATAATAGCTTTAACTTTTGGGTTTTTTAATTAAAGTACTTATTGGAAAATGAGCTAGAATGTCCCTAAAAATAAGCACTGTCTACAGGATGCCCTCCTTCTCCCACAGCAGTCACACACTTGCCTGCTTTTACTGCATCAGGAGGATGAAGGAAGACACATGGATGAATGTACCATATAGTTTGAACATCTTTTTTTCTCTTGAAAGAAACTAAATGAGTGCTTACCCATTTGGCTCGGCACGTTTGTTTCTTCAGAGGCTCTTGGCGTTTTCACAGTATTTCCCATTGCACTTTCTAATTCTGTCAAAGCTCTTCAGAACTAAATCAAAGGAGACATTGAAATTAAGCATCAGAATAACACCTGCTGTGCCAACAGATGAGAAATGACCTAGTTTGGGTGTCTCCACTCTTATAGAGTTTTGCTTTTGAGAAGTCTTGTGTTAAATTCATGTGAGAGTTTTACATACTTGCTAAACTCTCACCACTTTGGTGCTTTTATCAGGGGAATAGCAGAAAACCACAGCTAGGGAAGTTGCTCAGAAGAACACAATGTAGTAAAAGTTTCCATTACCAGTACCTCAGCACAATAGGAAGTCACAGCAAAGCCATGCCCGTACAGTCATTTCATATACAAAACGTTCTTTTCAGCATGTGGAGTTCTGAAGCTACAAAGAAATTAATTAGATTGTCGTATCAGGTTTTCAGCGCTGTGTGTATATTATGTCGCTTTATTGCCAAATACTAAGAATGTTATTCAGTGGTTTTTTTCTGATGCAGTTGTGCCCTCAGCGAATGTGGGCAATGTTGTTTTTCCTCTTTTTTTCTTTCTTTCTTTTTTTTTTTTTAAGTAACACCTTGCCTCAAAATGTTTGTGATGTCAAAACACTCTTGCATAAAGCCAGTGGTGCAAATTCTTCAGACACTTGTCTTAAAAGTCTTGGTGGATGTACAAGAAACAGTATCAGGCAATCATGGAACTAAATATTGTGAGAGGGAGAGTTCCTTCTTGTGGCTTTACTGCACCCATCCTAATTCTCCCTGACAGAGAACAGAGAGAAAAACCTTTTGGATGTGGAAGGTGTCTCATGCTATGGTATATTTTCAGAGGCAGAGGAGAATAAGCTGTATCTGTTTGAAATTGTACGTTAAAGCAAAATAACTCAACACCGTGAGCTGATTGCCAATTATTTTTAAAAAATATATATCTGTCAGTTGCCCAGTAAAAATGATAACGCAACTTCTAGCGGCGTCATGTGGGTATTTGCTAAACTCAGGTGCAATCTGCATCTTTCAGTCTTTTCTAGCTTAAATATTTCAAAGGTGACGGCTGCCTTTGGTATGCTGCTCTTGACTTACTTACAACAGGCTAGAACCTGACGGTGTTAGCTGGAGAGGTGTCAACCTGAGCAGCAGTACTGCTGAAATCAGTGAGACTTTCTTACTAATTGTCTTTTGGAAAAAGATTGCCAGAATTGAATATATTGCTTAATACCATAAATTTTTGATACGTTACAGCGAGTTTATGGAGACACTCTCCAGAATAAAATGCAGTTCAGAAGAAAAAGAATTTGTCTCTTATCAAATGCAAGTAGACTTAGTGCTAAAACAGACGGTAATGCAGTTTGACTCCACCTCATCTTGTTTTCAAGCTTCTCAGTGCTTGTTCCCAAAAGCTCTTTGCTAGAAGTCTCTATATTTCAGCAGCCAAATGACACATTACCCTTTCACTGCCTGCACTCAGGAACCAGCTTGTGGCACATCTGTAGGATGCAGCTGTGCCAGTCTCTTTCTGCCAAGTGTCTGAAATCTGCTTTCACAAGAACAAACAACTATTTCATTGCCTGGTTTCATTGCCTGATATAAGAAGTCTAAAAGTAGCCTTAAATTTAAATAAACTATTTGGTTATCCATATTTGAATAAATATCCATATTTGCTGGCAAATTTGAATTGATAGCAAACACAAAATTATTCTCCATTTAAACACACCTAAGTTTCTAAAACTAAAATCAGAATTCATTTTGGCAGGCACTGTCTACTTGCAAGGTTTTAATTTCCTGAACTAACTATGAAGGTTTTTTTTGAAAGACACAATTTTAATTTTTTCAATATTTTTCTCAATTGTATCCCATCACGAATAAGAGGAAGAGGGTGAGGAATAGTGCGAGGAATAGTGCAGCCTGTACTTTGGCTATATACGTGTTCCTGCTCATCTTCAAATTAGCCAGCAAAATTTCCTGGGCATGGCAACAGAGACCTCAACAGGACCGAAAAACTCAGCCAAGGAAGTGAGGTGAATACCTGGACAGATAACCTCTGCTGTGCTCTGTGCTGTAGCAGCCGCATTTTTGCAGTACTTGAAAAGGGCAGTTCGTATCTGTCGAAGTGTATAGTAAGTAAGCTGAAATTACCAAAATTTGTGCAATTCCAGATAGGTGCCAAGCATGGTAGCATAAGTATCTTATGCCCATCACAACACGTGACTGTTATCTAGATGACAATAGTACTTGAATTTTGTGTCACAAAAACATGCGAAAATAAAAATAATGGAGTCCTACCTCTATGTACCCCTTTATTCTGGGTCTTGGTATTTGAGGGCCAGGAGAGCAAGTCACCCTGCTAGCAATCAGTCTTGTGACAGAGTGCTTTCAAGGGCTTTTTTCCTACTCATAAGATATAGTGGGTACAATTTTCAGGTGTGCCTGAGTCACTTTGGAAAGTGATACGTAGCATTTGTACGTGATGGAAAGACTTCTGAAAATTTTACCTCACACTTACAAACTTTCTAAAAGCACGGCACATTTGAGCAAGGCATCTTCATTTTCCTAGATGGTATTTAGGGGTCTGAACTCTAAATATTGCTTTAAGAATACTGGAAGTGTTTTTGAAGGCTTGCCTATATGCAGTTTGTAATTAAACCACTTGCTGTCTAGTCCAGATTGGTTAAATACCAGACAACAGGCATGTGCCTACTTCGTATTTTTGCAGAGCGCATCTAAAACTGGCCTGGCTCAATTCTGCCATACAAATCATCATTCTTCTCAAAGGACCTCTGAAGTCAACAGGACAAAGCGTGCAGCTCAGTGCTGCTACTTTAGAGGTGGAAGAATATGACTTACGGAAAATACAAATGTTATAAAGTACTTACGGTAACAGTGAAGAGCAATGTCATTTTGGACTTTGATGTCACTAGTGTGATGGTTTACTGTGTCTCATTACATTTTCCATGCTAAGTTTTACCATCACTAATTACCATTGGTGGCAGCATAAAATCTTAAAGGAACAGAGAGTTCAAGATGTTCTCTAGACTCATGGCAGAAGTCTAGAGATGAGAGGACGAGAGGAAATGGTGTCAAGTTGCACCAGGGGACGTTCAGATTGGATATTAGGAAAAATTTTGTTACTGAAAGAGTGGTCACAACATTGGAAAAGGCTGCTCAGGGAAGTGGTGGAGTCACCGTCACTGGAGGTGTTCAAAAAACATGTAGATGTGGCTTCAGGACATGGCTTAGTGGGCATGGTGGTGTTGGGTTGACAGTTGGACTTGATGATCTTAGAGGTCCTTTCCAACCTTAATGATTCTGTGATTCTAAGTGTTCAATAAAAATAAGCAAATGGAAAGCTGTGGCCATTGCTGCTGATTCCCTTATCCAAAGTGATTAAAAGGAAAATGGCAGCTATCACACTAGGTTTTACCACTAAGGCCACTTGTCGTTATGCGTTTGGTCAGAGCAAAGGTGCCTGTAGTCCCGTCAAAGTTGATGGAGTGAATGCTCTCAGGTATGGCTCAACTCTCAGACATTTGAAAATGGGATGGAAATGGAATAAATTGGAATTTTTGTTTGAATTAGGATGGGGAGGGACAGAAGTTTATTTCTATTTGCTTGCTGGCAATGGTGTATCACTGTATTCTAAGTATTTACCCCCTTTCAGGTAGTTGTAGAGAGCGATAAGGTCTCCTCTCAGCCTCCTCTTCTCCAGACTAAACAACCCCAGTTCCCTCAGCCGCTCCTCATAAGACTTGTGTTCCAGACACAATTTGAATTAGGATGGGGAGGGACAGAAGTTTATTTCTATTTGCTTGCTGGCAATGGTGTATCACTGTATTCTAAGTATTTCTAAAACGTGCACGTGAATCTCAAGTCCGTGATAGAACTTAATATCTTAAGTAGCTTGTGCTTGCATCAAGTATTGGCAGTCAACACAAATCCATTGTATTGCTGTATGATAAACTGTACGGTGGTTTTCTGAAATTTTGAGATGCTCTGCAAATATAGACTTAAAGGAAACTGTAGAGTATCTTGTGGCTGAGCCAATTTTTTTATCGTTTAAGTCAATAGCGGAACAATAACGGTTTTATAGATGATATTCTTTTCCAGGCACGGCATCTCACGTAAACTTGGTGACAGAGTTTGGGATACAAGCAAAGGCGGCATCTCTCTGTCACAGAAGCAGATAATTATGCCAGATCCAAAGAAAGTCATTCACTGAGGGTGATTTGGGAAGGATTAAGGAGAGATGATAGACTCTACGCTCAGCTCTTGCCAGCCCAAAGCCCTGCATGGAGAAGCGCGGCTGCCGCTCAGCTCGGAGGAGCCGCTGTGCTGCTGGGCTGCAAACCAAACGACCCGCAGGTGTAAGGGCGGCTTCCCCCTCGCAGGCCACCTCCTCAGGCTTGTGTGGAAACCTGATTTTAAGCGTTCAGATCACATTTGCAGGCTTCCAAGCTTTGGTCCTTCCTCCCCTTTCCACCTGCGCATATGGTCTTTAACAAAAGCCGGTCGCTGCAGCCATAGCTGTTTGCAAACACGCAGCTAGTGGGCTTTAGTGATCTTTACTGCTTTATTTTTGCTGCCAAAAGGAAGGTGAGGAAACATCTACAGCCCCAGCCCTCCTTTGTGTCCTGTTTATCAATGGCAGAGCTCTCGGCAGATACGAACTCTTCACCTGTCAATATTGGAATCTCACTGACCCAACAACCTGTGGTACAATTTACACTTCCGCTCCTGTGTGCAGCACGTGGAGCAATAATTTCCCCTCGCAGAGTCTGTTCTCTGAGAAAACGTGCTTCTGGAGCAGCTAAATAGCACGGCGCATAGGAAAGTCCGTTGCTTTGTAAGAACTTTTTCAAAGTTATATTTTAAATGATTGAGAACTAGTAAATGTAAAGAAATTAAAATGAGAAGAGAAATGAAAAAGCAAGATAAGCACCTGAGTAAAGCCTCTCTGCAAGGGATACTGCAGGCTAGGAAAATTAGGACATTCATCATTCCTGAGATGCTATACCCTATTTTATTTTTGTTGCCGGATATTCACATCTATACCACCAAGGCCTTAGAATTTAATTCTCAGCAAGATTCACAGGTAATGTCTGAATCCCATTTGGCTTGAAAATGAAATCACCAGCAGCCTGTTATTTTTCATGTGGAAAAAAAACCGGCTTAGATTTCAGAAGCTGTATATTTTTGGGTGAA